TCTGCACTGGTCTCTGCACTGGTCTCTGCTCTGGTCTCTGCTCTGGTCTCTGCTCTGGTCTCTGCTCTGGTCTCTGCACTGGTCTCTGCACTGGTCTCTGCACTGGTCTCTGCACTGGTCTCTGCACTGGTCTCTGCACTGGTCTCTGCACTGGTCTCTGCTCTGGTCTCTGCTCTGGTCTCTGCTCTGGTCTCTGCTCTGGTCTCTGCTCTGGTCTCTGCTCTGGTCTCTGCTCTGGTCTCTGCTCTGGTTTCTGCTCTGGTCTCTGCTCTGGTCTGGTCTCTGCTCTGGTCTCTGCACTGGTCTCTGCTCTGGTCTCTGCACTGGTCTCTGCACTGGTCTCTGCACTGGTCTCTGCACTGGTCTCTGCACTGGTCTCTGCTCTGGTCTCTGCTCTGGTCTCTGCACTGGTCTCTGCTCTGGTCTCTGCACTGGTCTCTGCACTGGTCTCTGCTCTGGTCTCTGCTCTGGTCTCTGCACTGGTCTCTGCTCTGGTCTCTGCACTGGTCTCTGCTCTGGTCTCTGCTCTGGTCTCTGCACTGGTCTCTGCTCTGGTCTCTGCTCTGGTCTCTGCTCTGGTCTCTGCTCTGGTCTCTGCACTGGTCTCTGCACTGGTCTCTGCTCTGGTCTCTGCTCTGGTGTGGTCTCTGGTCTGGTCTCTGGTCTCTGCTCTGGTCTCTGCTCTGGTCTCTGCTCTGGTCTCTGCACTGGTCTCTGCACTGGTCTCTGCTCTGGTCTCTGCACTGGTCTCTGCACTGGTCTCTGCACTGGTCTCTGCACTGGTCTCTGCACTGGTCTCTGCTCTGGTGTCTACTCTGGTCTCTGCACTGGTCTCTGCACTGGTCTCTGCACTGGTCTCTGCTCTGGTCTCTGCTCTGGTCTCTGCACTGGTCTCTGCTCTGGTCTCTACTCTGGTCTCTGCACTGGTCTCTGCACTGGTCTCTGCTCTGATCTCTGCTCTGGTCTGGTCTCTGGTCTCTGCTCTGGTCTCTGCTCTGGTCTCTGCACTGGTCTCTGCACTGGTCTCTGCACTGGTCTCTGCTCTGGTCTCTGCTCTGGTCTGGTCTCTGGTCTCTGCTCTGGTCTCTGCACTGGTCTCTGCTCTGGTCTCTGCTCTGGTCTCTGCACTGGTCTCTGCTCTGGTCTCTGCACTGGTCTCTGCTCTGGTCTCTGCACTGGTCTCTGCTCTGGTCTCTGCTCTGGTCTCTGCTCTGGTCTCTGCTCTGGTCTCTGCACTGGTCTCTGCTCTGGTCTCTGCACTGGTCTCTGCTCTGGTCTCTGCTCTGGTCTCTGCTCTGGTCTCTGCTCTGGTCTCTGCTCTGGTCTCTGCTCTGGTCTCTGCTCTGGTCTCTGCACTGGTCTCTGCACTGGTCTCTGCACTGGTCTCTGCTCTGGTCTCTGCACTGGTCTCTGCACTGGTCTCTGCTCTGGTCTCTGCACTGGTCTCTGCACTGGTCTCTGCTCTGGTCTCTGCTCTGGTCTCTGCACTGGTCTCTGCTCTGGTCTCTGCACTGGTCTCTGCTCTGGTCTCTGCTCTGGTCTCTGCACTGGTCTCTGCTCTGGTCTCTGCACTGGTCTCTGCTCTGGTCTCTGCACTGGTCTCTGCTCTGGTCTCTGCTCTGGTCTCTGCTCTGGTCTCTGCTCTGGTCTCTGCACTGGTCTCTGCTCTGGTCTCTGCACTGGTCTCTGCTCTGGTCTCTGCTCTGGTCTCTGCTCTGGTCTCTGCACATTGTTTTAGCCGCCCTCAGACCAGGCATCCGTGTCAGAGGCGCATTAGCACATACTGTATACTGGGACCAGAGAGACTAGAGAGAGAGACAAGAGAGAGACCAGAGAGAGACTAGAGAGAGACTAGAGAGAGACTAGAGAGAGACCAGAGACAGAACAGAGAGAGAGACCAGAGAGAGACCAGAGAGAGAGACTAGAGAGAGACCAGAGAGAGACTAGAGATAGACTAGAGAGAGACTAGAGAGAGACCAGAGACAGAACAGAGAGAGAGACCAGAGAGAGACCAGAGAGAGAGACCAGAGAGAGACCAGAGAGAGACTAGAGAGAGACTAGAGAGAGACTAGAGAGAGACCAGAGACAGAACAGAGAGAGAGACCAGAGAGAGACCAGAGAGAGAGACTAGAGAGAGACCAGAGAGAGAGACTAGAGAGAGACCAGAGCGACTGAACAGAGCGAGAGACCAGAGAGACTAGAGAGAGACCAGAGCGACTGAACAGAGCGAGAGACCAGAGAGACAGACTTGAGAGAGACCAGAGAGAGAGACCAGAGAGAGACCAGAGAGAGAGACCAGAGAGAGACCAGAGAGAGAGACCAGAGAGACCAGAGAGACCAGAGAGAGAGACTAGAGAGAGACCAGAGAGAGACCGGAGAGAGAGCCCAAATGATAACACAATTCCACACACTTAAGGAGAGAGAGTCATGTGAAGGGAGAGCCATGAGGAGAGAGAGTCATGAGGAAAGAGACCCATGTGGAAAGAGTCCCATGTGGAGAGAGACCCATGTAGAGAGAGAGCCATGAGGAGAGAAACCCATGTGGAGAGAGAGCGATATGGAGGTCACGGCTCAGGCCAGGGCGATAGTCTCTCTCCCTCTCTCTGTGTGTGTGGGCGACGGTCTCTCTCTCTCTCTCTCTGTGTGTGGGCGATGGTCTCTCTCGCTCTGTGTGTGTGTGTGTGCGACGGTCTCTCTCTCTCTCTCTGTGTGTGAGGCCTGGGCGACGGTCTCTCTCTCTCTCTCTCTGTGTGTGGGCGATGGTCTCTCTCGCTCTGTGTGTGTGGGCGATGGTCTCTCTCGCTCTCTGTGTGTGTGGACGACGGTCTCTCTCGCTCTCTGTGTGTGTGGGCGACGGTCTCTCTCTCTCTGTGTGTGAGGGCGACGGTCTCTCTCTCTCTCTCTGTGTGTGAGGGCGAGGGTCTCTCTCTCTCTGTGTGTGAGGGCGACGGTCTCTCTCTCTCTGTGTGTGAGGGCGACGGTCTCTCTCTCTCTCTCTGTGTGTGAGGGCGAGGGTCTCTCTCTCTCTCTGTGTGTGAGGGCGACGGTCTCTCTCTCTCTCTGTGTGTGAGGGCAACGGACTCTCTCTCTCTCTGTGTGTGAGGGCAACGGTCTCTCTCGCTCTCTGTGTGTGAGGGCGACGGTCTCTCTCTCTCTCTGTGTGTGAGGGCGACGGTCTCTCTCTCTCTCTGTGTGTGAGGGCGACGGTCTCTCTCTCTCTGTGTATGAGGGCGACGGTCTCTCTCGCTCTCTGTGTGTGTGTGGGCGACGGTCTCTCTCGCTCTCTGTGTGTGTGTGGGCGACGGACTCTCTCGCTGTCTCTGTGTGTGTGAGACCCGGGCGATGGTCTCTCTCTCTCTCTCTGTGTGTGGACGACGGTCTCTCTCACTCTCTGTGTGTGTGTGGGCGACGGTCTCTCTCACTCTCTCTGTGTGTGTGGACGACAGTCTCTCTCGCTCTCTCTGTGTGTTTGGGTGACGGTCTCTCTCGCTCTCTCTGTGTGTGTGGGCGACGGTCTCTCTCTTTCTCTGTGTGTGAGGGCGACGGTCTCTCTCACTCTCTCTGTGTGTGTGGACGACGGTCTCTCTCGCTCTCTCTGTGTGTTTGGGCGACGGTCTCTCTCTCTCTCTGTGTGTTTGGGCAACGGTCTCTCTCTCTCTCTGTGTGTGAGGGCGACGGTCTCTCTCGCTCTCTGTGTGTGAGACCCGGGGCCGGGGACAAGGCTCCTGTGTCCGTCCTGCACAGACCTGCTGTGTGGACCTATGTCACTGTGTGTATGTATGCAGCTCACATCCATGTGCTCACACCGCCACCACACAACTACACACACAACAACACACACAACAACACACACCACTACACACACTACTATACACACAACCACACACACAACAACACACACCACTACACACTACTATACACACAACAACACACACCCCTACACACACTACACACTACTATACACACAACCACACACACAACAACACACACCACTACACACACTACACACTACTATACACACAACTACACACACCACTACACACAACTACACACACTATTATACACACAATTACACACACCACTACACACAACTACACACACTATTATACATACAACTACACACACCACTACACACAACTACACACACTATTATTCACACACAACTACACACACTACACACAACTACACACACTACACACAACTACACAGCGAGTCCATTAAGAGTGTAAAGATAATAAAACCCGTTACAAAGTTGTCGATTAACCAACACCAAATCAGAGAATCAATGATATGGAATAATAATAATAATAATAACAATAATAATAATAATAATAATAACGATAATAATAATAATAACAATAACAATAACAATAATAATAATAATAATAACAATAACAATAATAATAACAATAATAATAATAATAATAATAATAATAATAACAACAATAATAATAACAATAACAATAATAATAATAATAATAACAAACACTAGAATAGCATGTTCATTGTTGCTCTTCATAACTTTGACTTTTTCATATCGTTTTTGTGAAATCATGTTTAATTCTTGAAATGCAAGTAGTTCGACCTATCTCCATATATTAGTGTTAAATGTGAGCTTTTTTGTCGCTTGGCAACCAACGTTTTCTGGCAGTTAAAGGTACTTTTCTCAGCTGGGTGCAAGTGCAAGTAGTTACCATAGCAACGCACTCTTTTAGTAGTTATTTGACACGAAATTAGCCTTTCAAAAAAAAGTTTTCAAGCTATATTCACCAGTTTTAGCACTTGGTAAAAATAAATTCTCTATGAACTAAAACTTTAACTAAAACGCATTTTTGGGGATTTTTTTTCGGAATTCCTTTGACTTGAATTGGAGCTGTCAAAACGAGTATTAATGTTTTCCATATTGACATATTTTTATTGTACAGTATAAGCACTTTTAAACGCTGTGTGTGTGAATAGTGCCATAAATACTTTCACACTCTGCCGTTCCACAAACACACACATTTCGTTTAAAGCTGAGGCAGACAGAGCCAAAGACAGCACCACACACAGAGTCACAGACAGCGCCACAGACAGCACCACACACAGAGTCACAGACAGCGCCACAGACAGCGCCACAGACAGCGCCACAGACAGCGCCACAGACAGAGCCACAGACAGCGCCACAGACAGAGCCACAGACAGCGCCACACACAGAGCCACAGACAGCGCCACACAAAGAGCCACACACAGAGCCACAGACAGCACCACAGACAGCGCCACAGACAGCACCACACACAGAGTCACAGACAGCGCCACAGACAGCACCACACACAGAGTCACAGACAGCGCCACAGACAGCACCACACACAGAGTCACAGACAGCGCCACAGACAGCACCACACACAGAGTCACAGACAGCGCCACAGACAGCGCCACAGACAGCGCCACAGACAGCGCCACAGACAGAGCCACAGACAGCGCCACAGACAGCACCACAGACAGCGCCACAGACAGAGCCACAGACAGTTCCACAGACAGAGCCACAGACAGCGCCACAGACAGAGCCACAGACAATGCCACAGACAGAGCCACAGACAGCGCCACAGACAGAGCCACAGACAGCGCCACACACAGAGTCACAGACAGCGCCACAGACAGCGCCACAGACAGAGCCACAGACAGTTCCACAGACAGAGCCACAGACAGCGCCACAGACAGAGCCACAGACAATGCCACAGACAGAGCCACAGACAGCGCCACAGACAGAGCCACAGACAGCGCCACACACAGAGTCACAGACAGAGCCACAGACAGCGCCACAGACAGAGCCACAGACAGCGCCACAGACAGCACCACAGACAGCGCCACAGACAGAGCCACAGACAGCTCCACAGACAGAGCCACAGACAGCGCCACAGACAGAGCCACAGACAATGCCACAGACAGCGCCACAGACAGCGCCACACACAGAGCCACAGACAGCGCCACACAAAGAGCCACACACAGAGCCACAGACAGCACCACAGACAGCGCCACAGACAGAGCCACAGACAGCACCACACACAGAGTCACAGACAGCGCCACAGACAGCACCACACACAGAGTCACAGACAGCGCCACAGACAGCGCCACACACAGAGTCACAGACAGCGCCACAGACAGCACCACACACAGAGTCACAGACAGCGCCACAGACAGCGCCACAGACAGAGCCACAGACAGCGCCACAGACAGAGCCACAGACAGCGCCACAGACAGCACCACAGACAGCGCCACAGACAGAGCCACAGACAGTTCCACAGACAGAGCCACAGACAGCGCCACAGACAGAGCCACAGACAATGCCACAGACAGAGCCACAGACAGCGCCACAGACAGAGCCACAGACAGCGCCACACACAGAGTCACAGACAGCGCCACAGACAGAGCCACAGACAGCGCCACAGACAGAGCCACAGACAATGCCACAGACAGCGCCACACACAGAGCCACAGACAGCGCCACAGACAGCGCCACAGACAGCGCCACAGACAGCGCCACACACAGAGCCACAGACAGCGCCACAGACAGAGCCACAGACAGCGCCACAGACAGCGCCACAGACAGCGCCACACACAGAGCCACAGACAGAGCCACAGACAGAGCCACAGACAGCGCCACAGACAGCGCCACAGACAGCGCCACACACAGAGCCACAGACAGCGCCACAGACAGAGCCACAGACAGCGCCACAGACAGCACCACAGACAGAGCGTCCGGTTCGGGCCGAGCAGCTCCCACACGGCGCTCTGAGTGATAGTAAGTGATAGTAGAAGCAGCGGGGTCAGGGGTCAGGGCCATCATTAGTGGGGGCCCCCAGGGGACCGTTAACAGCCTGATTAGGTTTCACACCAATCTGCTGCAGAACTGTCCCGGCGGCCGCCTTTTTAACACAAGATATTTTTACTCCTCTGTACTCTCAAAGTTAGCGAGAGAAAGGGCAAAAGAGTCGGACCAAGAGTTCGTTCATGTGACATTTTTAATAAAAGAAAACGGGTTAGAGTTTGAGTTTCAGAACATTTTTACTTTGTTCAGTTTCCCGCACTCAGATGTGACCTAAATTACATTGACATTAAAAAAAGAACAGTTTTATGAAAGGTGTTGGGTAATACCACCGGACACAAATGTTAGTGTCCATAAGACCTTCTGTTTAACTGTATGAATAATAAAGCAAATACAGACCACACTGAAGGAGAATATTATTATACAGCTCTCATGGCGACTTTGAAATAGAAGTCATATTACTATTCCCCGGCAACTAAGACATGCACAGACTTTAACATAGACTTTAACATAGACTTTAACATAGACTTTAACATAGACTTTAACATAGACTTTAACATAGACTTCAACATAGACTTCAACATAGACTTTAACATAGACTTTAACATAGACTTTAACATAGACTTCAACATAGACTTCAACATAGACTTTAACATAGACTTTAACATAGACTTCAACATAGACTTCAACATAGACTTCAACATAGACTTTAACATAGACTTTAACATAGACTTCAACATAGACTTCAACATAGACTTCAACATAGACTTCAACATAGACTTTAACATAGACTTTAACATAGACTTTAACATAGACTTTAACATAGACTTCAACATAGACTTTAACATAGACTTCAACATAGACTTCAACATGGACTTCAACATAGACTTCAACATAGACTTTAACATAGACTTCAACATAGACTTCAACATAGACTTCAACATAGACTTCAACATAGACTTTAACATAGACTTCAACATAGACTTCAACATAGACTTTAACATAGACTTCAACATAGACTTTAACATAGACTTCAACATAGACTTCAACATGGACTTCAACATGGACTTCAACATAGACTTCAACATAGACTTTAACATAGACTTCAACATAGACTTCAACATAGACTTCAACATAGACTTCAACATAGACTTCAACATAGACTTCAACATAGACTTTAACATAGACTTCAACATAGACTTCAACATAGACTTCAACATAGACTTCAACATAGACTTCAACATAGACTTTAACATAGACTTCAACATAGACTTCAACATGGACTTCAACATGGACTTCAACATAGACTTCAACATAGACTTTAACATAGACTTCAACATGGACTTCAACATGGACTTCAACATAGACTTCAACATAGACTTTAACATAGACTTCAACATAGACTTCAACATAGACTTCAACATAGACTTCAACATAGACTTCAACATAGACTTTAACATAGACTTCAACATAGACTTCAACATAGACTTCAACATAGACTTCAACAAAGACTTTAACATAGACTTCAACATAGACTTAACTGGGTCATAACAGAAGATAGATCTGATCGTCTGGAATTAGGATTTGTAGTTTTTTCTTCAATAGATCGAAATGTATAGACATTGGTCTCTGCCTGTTATGGACCAACGGCTCTACCAGCTGAGCTACTGTCGCCCCCCAACGGCTCTATGTGTTTGATATTAATGAACTTCTTGTGTTTTATTTGAACTGTTTTGATTCTTTGATTTGTTGTTGGCGAATCGACAGCTTTGTAAAATCCTCCGAGACAAACTACTGTTGTGATTTAGGGTTATTCAAAGAAGAAAATTGAATTGTGTTGAAATTGTGTTGGGGGAAAAAAACACTTTTCTTTCAACTTTGGAAACTCAAAAATTCAGACTTCTCATCTTCATTTAGAGCTAATGTCTATGGATTTCCAGGGTTAATCCACCTGATTCCACATAGTCTATTTCAGATCATATCCGCTCTAATTATTTTCTCTGTGTGTTTAGAAGGGGTGGCAGTAGGTTGACCAGGTATAGAAAGGAAAATATGGCAGTTTCAAGGCTCAACTTTATTGTCCTTGAAGATAAATGTGTGTAAGGCTTTTAGAGCTGTTCAAACATCAGGACAACCGTCTCGTCTGCGCAATTTCAACACAAGAATACACCGTGATATTGCGTAGTTCCACATGTCCTCAGAGTCAGAGTTGGTTCCTATGGCACTGACATGTCTCAGATGTTCTTTGATTAAAGTCTATTCTCTGAGCCACAGGAAGCAGAGACCTGAGACCTGGACTAATGTAACCGTACTTCCAGGTTCTAGTCCGGACTCCAGCTGCAGCGTTTTGAATATATGCAAAAAATAATAAAATATAAGGTAATAAATGCCCAAATCAAGTATTTTTTATCCTTATATTCGAGAACATTCTGACTGTCCCAAAACACGACTCTCCAATGGGACAAAGACATTTAGTCTGAGTTCAAGAACTGTTGCTTTATTATCTCATTCCAAGGAAGACATTTCTGTATATTTTTAAAACAAGATCATTTTGCTTTTGTCCCATTGGAGAATCTTGTTTTAAAGCTGCATTAACTGACTTTTTTTTTTTATTCATTACAAAAATCCAACCCATGTCCATGCAGTGCATTGGGATAAACGTCCTTTTGAAGAAAAAGTAGCGCAGGTTTGTGCTGGCGTGTCATTTAATTTTAGATCGAGTTTTTGTGAAACAAGGAAGAGAACGTGTTTCGGGTCCAGATTGTGACCAATCACAGCGGACCACTGGCCCCCACTTTCTTGAGAAAAGCCACAGGTCTGTGGTTAGCACAGACAGGTCTGTGGTTAGCACAGACAGGTCTGTGGTTAGCACCGACAGCTGAGGTAAACAAGCGGCGGAGGCTAACCTGAAACTTCCCCTGTCTTTGTTACTGGTTACTGCTTACTCAGAGAAACAGACAAAAGAAAGTCTCTACAACAATCACTGATAAAATGGTACAAAAGCAACGCACTGTTAACAAAATATATAACTGAAAGATTACCGCTAGTTTCACGTCCGAATGTCCGAGCGTAGATAGTCCGAGAGTAGATAGTCCGAGCGTAGATAGTCCGAGGAGCGTAGATAGTCCGAGCGTAGATAGTCCGAGCGTAGATAGTCCGAGCGTAGATAGTCCGAGCATAGATAGTCCGAGCGTAGGTAGTCCGAGGAGCGTAGATTGTCCGAGCGTAGATAGTCCGAGCGTAGATAGTCCGAGCGTAGATAGTCCGAGGAGCGTAGATAGTCCGAGGAGCGTAGATAGTCCGAGGAGCGTAGATAGTCCGAGCGTAGATAGTCCGAGCGTAGACAGTCCGAGGGTAGATAGTCCAAGCGTAGATAGTCCGAGCGTAGATAGTCCGAGCGTAGATAGTCCGAGGAGCGTAGATAGTCCGAGCGTAGATAGTCCGAGCGTAGATAGTCCGAGGGTAGATAGTCCAAGCGTAGATAGTCCGAGCGTAGACAGTCCGAGCGTAGATAGTCCGAGGGTAGATAGTCCAAGCGTAGATAGTCCGAGCGTAGATAGTCCGAGCGTAGATAGTCCGAGGAGCGTAGATAGTCCGAGCGTAGATAGTCCGAGCGTAGATAGTCCGAGCGTAGATAGTCCGAGCGTAGATAGTCCGAGGCGGTCCCGCAGGTCTCTCCCATAGACAGATCAGATTCAGATTCATTTATTTGCCATTTGCAGTAAAACCACATTGGAAAAACTGTGCAAGACTACCCCGGTGTGCGCCAGACAGAGACGACACACACCAGAGCTCTTGCCACGGCGCCATTTTTCCGGCGCCATGCGACAAACAGTAGAATAAACAGCAGAGAGCAATAACATACAGGTTACAACAGACAGTTGGATAGAAAACATTGTGCTTTGTATAAACCACGGATTTTTTTTCTCGGGATGAGCACCTCCGCAGCCGGCCCAATGTGGCTGTCAGAGGGGGGCGGGGTCAGGGAGGGGGTAAGTCGGAAACACAGTGAGGAGGGGAGGGGAGGGAGAGATCAGAGGGAGGCGGGGGGAGCGGGATCCAAGCTGGAAGACTGAAAGAGTGTGAAATTGTTGTAGAGACCAGATTTATTATGATGGCCTTGGCCCGAGGAATGTGAGATAAGAGAGGAGGGAAGACACAGCAAGGAGAAAAACACGTCTTCCTGTAACAAGGGACAATCTAGTATGCATTTTAGCAGTCAAAAACAGGCAGATATTCTATTAAATCCAATTAAACCGAATTGCGGCGCCCTCAAACCCCGTACACAGGGGCCAATCCAAGCCGGGTCAGAGAGTTCAAGCGTGACAAACAATGTCATTCAATCTCAATTCCAGAGTTTTATGCCCATCAAGTGAACGAGCTGCGAGATCTCTGATCAACTGTTCCACCAAAACCACTCTTCTTTGTCCAGCCACAGCACTCTCAACCACGACTCGGTTAAGCTCCTTGTACATCCCATCAATTTTGTTGGCCAGCAGGTCGTGAATCTTGCGAACTGCCATGCCTCCGAATTTATGGTAGAATAGAACCGCTCCAAACCCAAACAGGAGGATCCCCACCACCAAAAATCCAAAGATATATACGTCTTCCGAATCTTCAATGGACAGGGTCGACAGACAGAGGGGCTGCCACTTGTTCCAGCTGTCAAGCGTATACCCCGCTGGTGAAGTCCCGTCCGGGCACACGGGCTCTCCAGACCCACGCTTACGTGTTGAAAAGATAGAATCAATTGCGTTGAGGGACCAATTTACCATTTCCATTCTTGCTAAAAGTTGTCTGTGGCAAAACTCCAGGAAAAAGACTGGTCACTCCAGTCTAAGACTGGAGAGACCAGTCTCTCCAGAGGATACAATGTAAGCTAGCTCTGTTCAGGGCTTGGTTTCTTCTTTGATCATGTTGTGGCTTTAGTTCCTCTTCTCTTCCTCACTGTTGTGTGGTTTGGGCTGTTTTGCTGCGTCTGCAGTTACAGCCAGAGGAGTTATAGCCACTTATGCTAACATGCTACTGTGTTTAGCAGCGCTGTAGAGGCTAG